CTCCAGCCCCGCTAAAGTAGGCCTAGTGACGCCACTGGCAGGAATAACTTCATTAACCAGATAAATTTACTACCTACAGGAACAATTTCCCTTAACTTCAGGCCCAGTTGCAGGTGCTGGAGAACTGGGCTTGACTTTCATAAGGAAACTCACAGTTACAACCACCTCTCTCCTGGCTGGCCTCTCCTGCCTGCAGCCTGACTCAGGTTCTGCTTCCAGCCCGGTTCCATGATTAGCTGCAGCAGTTGGACTCTGATTATGTCTGGTGGAACAAACAACATCAAGTTGCTGGTTGGTGTTTTTTGTTCATATCCACAGCAGGGCTACGAGGGCTCATCTCTTTGTTTCTTCTAGGTGGATGAGGGGATCGTCTCCTTGCCTCTTGTGGGTTGTGGAGGACTCCTCTCTTGTTTCTTGCTCCCCGTTGGGTTGAGTGATCTGCATCATCACGACTGCTGGTGTTTTGGCCCCAGTTTACACACCTGCCTTTGTTTACAGGTTTATTTACTCAGTTGTTAAAAACATTTATGGCAATCTCTTACACTTTTCATAATTTCATACATGGTAAATGTTTTACATAAATGGTAAATGGACTGTACTTATATAGCATCTTTCTTTCCAACCAGGATACTCAAAAAGATTAACTRTGTGCCCACATTTACCCATTCATGCACACATTCATCCAGCAATCTACTAGATCTCTCTACAAAGCTAACACAGATAAATCAATCTACAGAGGATCAACGACATAGCGATAAATCAAACTGCCAACTCTCATTAGAGGAATGACTCCCCTGACCCCTCTGCCACTGCCTGTAAGTATCATTATATTGGGCATGTACCCAGTACACATCACAAGTAACAAATAAGTTCTAGGAATAGGTCTGGTAAGTGTCTGCTATGTACATGGTAAGTACCTGGTAACAACATCCTGTAATACATGACCTGGCCTGTACCGCCTCTCTTCTCTTGTTGTTTTGTGTTTTCTGTACTGCTTCTCCATGTGGGAGGTTTCCAGGCCTAAGAAGCTGATTGGCTGCCTCCATCTGCTGGRTGACTTTCTGAAAGGACCTTCAAGGTTTACCTGTCCAAAGAAGACTGGCTGGAGCACACCTTGGATGGTAACACCCACTGATCTGTATTACGGTAACACCCACCCACCTTGCCGCCAATGGGCCTGACCTCAAGTGGGAGCTTATAAAAGCCTGCTCAGCCTTGCAGTCAGTGCTGCTGTGCTTCATGAACAGCATGCCATTATTTGTTTTGGCTAGATGGTCTTTGTCAGGATTGTATTGGTTGTGACTYCTCTGCAGAAACTTTGGAAGCTAAATGACTTTATTTGTGAGACTTTATTGTTGAGCCATTAGTTATAGTTGATTGTTTTTTATTGGATTTTTTTTTTTGGACATTTCCATTTGGGATTTGTCCATTTACTTTCAGTACAACAAAGTTTTTCTGAATTTCCAGTTTTTTGAGGAAAACCTCCATTTGTTGTGTTTTATCTTTGTTCTTTGCACTTTGATTGTAAAAAAATWAATTGTATCCTACTTTTTTCATACTGTATTTTGGGTCTTGTCACTAATGGCACGTCCCAGCTCACTTAACATGTTTTAGATTGTGTCCACATACGCACTTGAACTCGTGTGAAATAAATGTTACAGTTTCTGCAAAAGGTTCACACAAAGTTAATAGCATTTGTGTTATGTAACCAGCTTGGTCTCTGAACCAATCAATAAGCAACAGCAACTGATGTCAAATCAGGCTTGGGCAGTTTGGCCCGCATAAAACCTTGGGTCTTGAGGTTCCAGAAACTGGGGAGGAACTGGGCCATAGGGYCTAATGCCAAATCTGGGTTTAAAGCCAGTGCAAAAAACGCCTATAGTGATTTAGCAAAAATTGGGYTCAGCCTCAGCTCCTACTGCACCAAGATTTAGGTTTATATCAGTAAAAAATAACTGTGTCAAAGTCATTTTTGTGTTTTAAAGGTCAGTTGATTGGGACAGCCATCTTGAAATAGTGCAGATGTTGTTCACAGGGGTCAAACTGCAGTCCTGCAGGGCCACCATCCTGCATGGTTTCAGAGG